AACAAGTGTCGTGTTAACTTCCCGATTGTTACTCGGCAGTTCAGTTTTATCATACAACGTAGTGCAATGACGTGCATATACCTGAAGCTAGGCTATATAGGAATGGACCGTGATGGACTGATACCCCCCCCCCCCCACACACACACACACACACATACATACGATATGTCACCAAGTGGTCAGAGCATTACGATCAGTATTCACATGACGTATTTCCATTTACACCTGTGCATGCTGGTCTAATTGAAAAAAAAAGCTTTTTTTCTTGACGGCGGAAGAGTTTGCCGGCGAATGTTTACCGAGAAAACAAGCTCACATGGCGAATGACATCGTAGACTCAGCTGCGACAAGGACTGAACGTTTCAATGGATGCTTTGTAAATTTTTCCCCTTGTAAGAGATCTCTCCGGGGTACGGACACTACCGAGACACGCACCACGGATCGCATATGAATGGATGGCCGGTTACTGGCACGCGTTATAAAATAGGTATAATGCCACATAGGGGGGGGGGGGTTTGTCTGCATATACTCCTTCTTGTATATATTCCCATTAGTCCGTATGATAACTGGGTGATATATTAAATATTAAAATTTTAATATTGTGATAATTGTTACCTAAATCAATCACATGCATTGTATGGCGTGTATTTTTTTTTATTATTTTAGATATAATTTGTACTACATTTGTAATATTTTGTAACTTGTTGTATTTTAATACGTACATCTTGTGGTCACAATTAATTAATTAAAATAAGATATATGAAAAATAAATATTTGAATAAGTAATTAAAAAATTATAAGTAAGCCCAAACAAGGATCTTATTCTAATCAGATTGGTAGAAAATGTGTCAAATTAATCTCTATCTCTATATAATCAGTCTTGTACGACTCTGAAGCAGTCTTTGCTGATTTTTTGTCATAAGTCTGTATAAAGATCTTGTCTTGGATTCGACGCTTAAAATATGCCAGTATGTGACGTAAATAATATAAATATCCTGACAGTGGTAACACATGGAGACATAGTGAACTGTATTCCAGAGGTCACTGTACTTCGCGTACTTTCACCACATACGAGAAGTGTACGTCACTGGAATTTATGTTATGTTTTTGTATGTGGTCGTGTGTACGTGCTCGTTGGTTTGTGGTCAAGTTCAGGTGCAATTGGGAGAGTTTATTGAAAGTTAGTTTCGTCTTGCAATTGGGAACGTACCTTTAATTTAATATGTATTACCAAACACAGAGAAAACCCCAAGTCATAGCATTAATCGATCGACCCTGCCTATGACGATTGTTAAAATATCAATTTTTCGTTTCATTAATAGTTGTGGTCATAGTTGGTTTACATGGACACTTACCATGTATTATGTGTAACTGGTATGGTTTTCGAATGTGTTTTCTCAGTTGTATCAATATGCTATAGTGAATCGGCTGATATACCGTAACATGGGTTATTGCATATACCAGCGAAGGTCCTCAGGCTCTTAACGTGTATTCTTGATCGTTAGTTGGGACTAATTACTCATTATAATTGTGATCCCTAGAGAGTCGTTGATGACGTAATAACTGACAAATGGATACATTACTCTGAATAGAAGGCGATATAGGGTTGGTTGATTACCGGCTCATGCTCAATTACTATTGTATTATTAGTAGATGGTAGCTGTAGTTATTAGTATTCATACTGCTGTACTATTTCTAGTCAGTGTTGTGTCAAATAAATACATATTTATGTAAAAAAAAAAAAAATTCTGGGCTTTCTCGTGACGATTAAAACAACCTATATCGTATTCGGAAAGCAGCTGCTCGATTAAAGTTCAGAGTTAAGAAGACGGACCATGTTAGTTCACTTCAGAGGTGGCGGCACGAAACTTTGCATCATGGAGGCGAGATCTAAACCCACTTGAAAAGCTATTTCCTGCATTTTGAGGTGAAAATTTCGCAGACACAAAAGGTTTCAGCTTGATTAGGGAGGCAACACCCCCGAACATTTCCCGGGGCGACCGCCCCCTCTGCTGCCACCACCACTCTACCACCCCTGCCCGGTGCCGCCGACACTGCACTTCTCCTATCTTTACACTGGTTACCTATTTTTTCCCGTCTACAATTTACAGTTGATTGTAATTCAGGCTAGCCACAATATCTAACAGAACGTATACTCCGGCACAGTCCCTCTATAAGGTCTGTGACTGTGACTGTCACGGTGACCCGGGGGGTACACTCTATATCAGTGGCCATGCCCCCCCCCCCAAACGCATGACGATTCATATCTGGATTACGCATAGCTTCTCTGCGATTTTCGCTCCGTATATCTTAAACGAAGCTCCCCCCCCCAATACATTTTGCTGGATCCGCCACTGCTCTATATGCCGTTACTACCCCCATGTGCGTTCCAAATTTAGCGGGGGAAAGAGGTAAGTTGTTTTTCACCTTCTAAAGCGGGCCCGCGCGGGAGGCAAACAGGCTCCCTTTAAAACTCTAATGTGTGCAATAGGCCCCCAGGAATAAACCTACAGGGTTGCTGCGCCCGCTGTAGGCCCCCTCTTCAAGTTGCAACAACCACTCCCATACACCACCCTAGGCCATAGCTTGTTTGAGTTGATCACAACCCCACTTGATTGAAAAAACGGCAGAGAATGCTCGCAATAGGAGTAGGATGTTCTCAATATATGTCTGCAATAGAGGGTGTGTTTTTTTTTCAATATGTATGCTCTAGGGAGTACTAAATTTCCAGTGCGTCCGCAATAGGGGGTATGGTTTGGCAATGTGCTGCCATCCCTAGTAGAGGCCTATTATTTTTTAGCAAGAACGCACATGGCGTAAGGTTTTTAGATCACAGTACCTTTGATAGATTGTGTGATGCTCTTGGAGCTGAGAATGAGAGCACTATATAAATATTTTTTATTATAAAATCAAATCATTCATTTCTGGAGATCCTACTTATTTTTATTCAATGTCACGGTGTACTCGACTTTTAAGAGTTTATATGTTGATATACGTGGTACGCAGAATGTCGTGCAAATGCATCCCATGATGCATTATGTTCCTCTTTTGACGGATTTACCCTAACTCTCACCTTTTGCGGGGAAACAATCACGTTTTGTTTTGTTTTTTTTTCAATAGCACCGCATGTAAACATAGATGGCGAACATTTGAATAAAAAGTAGTGAAAGTGCAAGTCTATAGACGGCGCTCGTTGATTTGAATAAAAAGTGGGGAGAGTGCGGCGTAAATTCAGAAGGTCGACGTTGAGGGCAGCTACATGACCTCACAGTGACCTCACGCCTGATACTGATACGCCGGAGCTTATATAAGGGTGGTTTATCAGTCCGTTTGCCAGTGCACCAGAAATCAACTGAAATGCCTTCGTATAGATTAGTGACTCCCCAGAAGTGTGGTCTCGTGGGGACCACTAAAGTGCTTTTTGCGCTGGCAGGTGTCGAATATGAACTGGTGAAACTGAGTGCGGAGGAGATGCAGAAAGAAAAAGGACGTGAGTATCAATTGATCGTAATGTTGTGTTCGGTTTTTCGAATTATCTTCCAGTGACCCAAACGTTCCGGCTCACACCATGGAGGTAAAAGTTACTCTCTCCACTTTGGTTGTGCTGATCCAGACAGTAATAGGAGTCTAGAGACTGTGGTTGACACAACACTGGTCAGAATTACCGTTAGTGCAGCAGTATGGACGTCAACACCATTTTACTATGTAGTTATCGTCTGCTTCACTTGTTTCAAAATATAAAATACATACGTGGACTTTGCAATGTGAATCATTTGAATATTATCAACAGTAATCCAATAAATAAACTAACTTAAAATCTATGTTTAATTTTCCAAACTCTGGGAAGCTAAATTTTTTGAAGAAAATGTTCTCTGTGTAATTGGAACACTGCATTATGTAATGCATTATGTGCTCAATTGGTTCACAATTTCTGTTGAGTCACATAGTTGCCCAGTGTGTTCACTTATATGTGTATTATTGTCATATCACCTACATAGAGGGTGTCACTGTTGCATTGTTTTATAGATGACCTAGATAACGTTTACAGCTGATTGAATCCAGACTGTGATATGTCCATTGGGTCCAGCACACAGTCAGCTGGTGCACATGTGATAATAAAATAAATGCGATATTTACTATATGCGGGCCGCCATCTTGAATGCAGCATAAAACTAAATAAGAAACAAGTTGTGAAACGTGTTTTTAAGGTTCATACAAATCAGGACAAAAATACCAATCTTTTACAAAAATACGATCCGTTGTGGTTATATTAAGCCAACCGATAAAAAAATTCGACCGAATTCGGTCCAGCATATCAGAGCATTCACATAGAGCCTTCAGAGGGAGTTTGCATCACCAATATCGTAGCATACTCAATAATCTATATTTGCAGATTTACCAAATTATCTATAGATTTCTCATTGAAAACACACTATGTTTTGTATATCATATTTACCATGTTTTCATATCCAGCGTCCAGTGGCTTGAGCCAGCAAAAATTGACACGTAAATGGGTTTGACTCGAGCCAGTCACAATTACATCCTATATCGCCTTCTTTGTATTACGTTCCATTCAAATAATGTGTAATTTCTGGGTGGTAACTGTAGATGAATGAGTTGCAGCCCCCTTGATCATCGTCAGCAATTGGCACAAATCTTTTGTTGCATTCTCAAGCAACTTGTCTTCTCAAGCATACCACTTTCTGTCATGACAGAAACCCTAAGCATTGGGATGGTGATTGGGAGACATCAATATCAAGAAGGTGTTGTCGTCTTTGATTAGAAACAGATTTTCAAAAATATATTGATTTTCAAGTGATTAAGGATGCTGCCCCATTCGGCTTTGAATGGACCAGGTAGATCTCTCGTTCAACCCTAACTGTATAAACGCACAAAAGATAACCTCCTTTAAGTAGGTGGGTGAGCAATAGTTTGGCTGAGATAAAAACTTCCCATGCAATCCTAGCAATTGTCATAACCCTTTTAAAAGCTAGATATTTTTCGTGCCCAAAATTCAGTGCAAATATTTTCACCTTTTGTCAAATTTTCAATAAATTTTAGACCATACGAACAATTTCATTGCTTTTAAGTTTTTCATCAAAAGGATTGTGAATTTTTATCAATATTTTATGTTGGGGGGGTGCAGGATGTACAAAATCATTTTGCAGAATGGTGCCAAAAGTTGACAATGGTACTCAAAGGCTTAAATTAGCAGCATGGATAACAAATATTAAAAATTTATCTGTGATTCAGACATTCTCTAAAAGTTACTAAGCATGCAACTATAACAAACTATACATCTTCTGAAAGCTTAGATATATAGGCTAATAAGGTAGTGCATCTGCTGTGCCAATGTTTGTGACACATTTTTTTTTACACTTTCAATTTGTGAATGTCCAGTGAATTGCATCGAATATTTGTAATGATGCTGCTGTTAATATTACTAGTAATGATTTCTGTTGGCGTCAACTTTACATATGCGACTTTTTCTTGAAAACGTCTAGTAGCCAGATAGCTTTGATATTTTGTATGAAGACATCTCAAGTAAACCTTAGTCAGATTTGTTCATTTTGTGACAATACTTTTAATTTTCTAGGATAGTAGTAAAACAAAAAAGATAAGTTTTGATTCAAGATCACGTGGATGACTGAGTAGTAATTAACAACCCTTAAACTGAGGTTTTTGACTTTCAGGTATGCCATTTGGACAGCTGCCAATTTTAGAATTTGATGGGAAAACCATAGCTCAAAGCAGGGCAGTAGCACGATATGTGGCTAAGGAGTACGGTGAGTATAGATACTATCCATATATTCATTTATTGTATTCTTTTATTGCCTTTTTTTTTTCTTTTTTTAACCCTTTTTTCAATTTAAAAAATTATCATGAGATCGTCTTCAATTCTGTGCACCACCTTGGATCCTCTAGATCATTTAAATTACCCAGAATTCTTTGTAATATGGTAATTGCATTTGAATTGAGGGCGCTGTTCAGATGATAGGATGGTGGAGTCGCTAATAAGTTTCCTGTTCTTTTATAGGATTATATGGAAAAGATAATTATGATCAGGCAAGAGCTGATATGATTGTTGATCAAATTTATGATGTTGTTGAAAGAGTGAAAGTTTGGGCTAAAGAACAAGATCCAGATAAAAAGGTAGGAATATTAATTATTTTTTCGATTTGAGAAGCTCAAACAGAATCAAGTTGGGTCCCATCTGTTTAAAGTGAGGTGGTCGTCACCTGTGCATGCGTCAGATGGCCATAGCGTGTCATTGTTTACAAACAAGCATCTACCCATGAGCCTTTGTGTTTTTAGCTTGAGTTGTTGTCGTCATTTGGGACCCAATTCCCGCACGCGGGACGACCCTCTCGCTTTAAAGTAAAAAGAGCATTATCCTTTTAAAAACCTTGATACTATTCATCATCCTGACCTAAGAAGCCAAAAACTGTAAGGTAATAATTAGTGGAGCTCTCTGTTTGTTTTGAAATAAGCATCTTGAAAATCCTTATTTGGAATTGCATGTTTCCTAATAAGGTAGGATGCAGATATCCGATGCAATGCTGCAGAATTATGGTGTGCTCTAACTTAAGGAGGTACAATAGATGTATAATAATAAATATTTTATTGAAATAGGAACAAATCCGGAAAGATATTGCAGAGAACACATT